ACACACCTCCCGCAACAGTTACAGGCTTGCAAACAACCCACAGGGCCCGCTCTGAGTCAACATTGACTCGGGGGCAGTGAGTTTGCTTTGGGTCAACACTAAGGGCCACTGGGGCTGCCCAATTTCCCTTCCTGCCCCCACTGACAGGCAGTAGTCGGCCCAGGGGCACCTGCTCAGAGGCGGGGGCCAATGCAGGTCTGGGTTCTGAGTGTGAGATGGCCCCACTGTGTGGCCCCCAGAGCAGGAGCTAGGCTGCCAGGTGGCACCAGGACCATCGCCCACACTTCCGTGGTAGATGGGCTCCAGGCATCTGTCCGTCTGGGGGTGAGCTGCTCTGGCCTGGGTAGACACAGTGGGAAGGGGCATTCCTAGGGGGCGTGGATGTGCCAGGAGCCCTGGTGGCATCGCGGTCATGCATTGGGCTGCTAACTGCTAGGTCAGCAGTTGGAAACCACCAGCCGCTCTGAGGGAGAAAGAGGAGGCTTTCCACTCCCGCGAAGCGGCAATCTCACTGTACGTAGATGGGGTCGCTATGAGTCGGAACCCACAGTGACGGAGCACGGCCCGGTCCTGCACCATCCTCGCCATCGTTCCAGTGTCTAAGCCCATCGTTGCAGCGTTTTCCTCGTTGTCGCCACCCCTCCACTTTAAGGACATCAAACACGGTGGTTTCTCCTGACACGTCCGAAGGACGTAAGACAGCCTCCCCATCTTTACTGCTAAGAAGCACGTTGTCAGATGGCAGTAAGAGTGCATTTTTTGGTGGCTGTTTTTTCCCCCCGAGACACCCCATGATGAGTCTCTAGAGCTACACAGTGTCACTCAGCACAGGACAGCCTGGAGTACCATCCATGACCTGCAGTTCATGGTCTCACGCCCTGGTGCCCATCACAGGGCTGGCACAGAGGAGGCACAAGCCCCTGCCATGTTTGTTAGATGAAGGCTGGAAAATTCCATGTGTGCTCTGAAGGGTGAGGCCAATCCATGTATCCCCAACATACGTGGAGCAACAAGCCGGGATCCGTCCATCGCTCAATCGTAGAGGTAAGACACTCGGGTACTTGTGGGCCATGGACGAATGCTGGGAACACGGTGAGTACCCAAACAGAAGCAACAGGGCTACGAGGGAGAAGAGGAAATGCAGCGAGAAAGTCCCTTCAGGGTCCCCAGGGCTGGAGGTCGCCCTGATGGTAACTCACTGCGACGTGGCAATAGGGACGCCCCTGAACTGTCCTCTGGACATGTCAACATGGGCAAAAATGCTGTCTCCAGCTTACCACCATTTTCCAAATGAACAGAAATGAGGCCCCCACCCATACTGAATGGTGATTGGACTTCGACTGCCCCTCACAAAAACCCAAATGGCGGGGGAGCGAGGGCCAGAGAGGGAGGTGAAGGGGGTTCTATTTATGCCGCAGTTCCTGAGACACTAACAACAGGAGGAAAGGCGTTTCAGGATTGAGCTGACACATGTAGAGAAGCATCTAACTGTAGAAGACTGCCACTTCAAGTCAAAATGAAGACCACTTAAAGGGGGATGAAGCAGAAAACCAAACCCCACCCTCACTGAGTCAACCCTGACCCACAGTGATGCTGCAGGAGAGAGCAGCACTGTCCGGCGGGGGGCTAAGGCTGTAAGTCTTTCTAGAAGCAGGCTGCCGTATCTTTCTCCCAAGGAATGGCGGGTGGGTTTGAACTGCTGGCCTTGCAGTTAGCATCCCGGTGTGTGACTCACTGAGGGCTCCTGCAAAAGGGGATGAAACCCACTGCCTCAAGCTGATTCCAGTCGTGGGGACCCACTTATGATTTGCTAGGCTGTAAATCTTTACAGGAGCAGCCAGCCTCATATTTCTCCCATGGAATGGCTGGTGGGCTTGAACCACTGACCTTGTGGTTAGCAGCCCAATGCCTAAACTACTGTGCCACCAGGGCTCTCTCAAAAACCCACTGCCATCAGTGGGTTCCAACTCACAGTGACCCTGTAGGACAGGGCAGAACTGCCCGGTGGGTTTCTGAGACCGACTTGCCGCTGGACTAGAGAGCCTGGTCTGTTCCCCAGAGCCGTGGGTGTTTTCAAACTGCTGACCTTGTGGGCAGCAGTCCAACGTGTAATCCACTACGCCAACAGGGCTCTCTAGAAGGGGTGAGAAGGGGCATGCCTACAATTTCCATTCTCATGGTAATTTTAACATTTTTAACAATTCTAACTTTCTCAACTTTGCATTTTTAACAAGTTGGCTTTAGGTAATTGGCAGTCCCGTGGTTATCGACCGGGCATGTAAATATTGCCTTGTCCCAGACAGTGCACTGGAAAGTGGATTACAGCAGAGACAGGTTAACATTTAACATCTCACCATTTGTTTAATCTTTTGACCCATTTCGACTTTGTTCTAGCTTCCATTATCTTCTGTTCCCTCGGACTGAGGGTTCCCTGGGCTTTGCTCTCAGGGTGGTGGGAGCTGCTGTTATTTGGGGGTAGGATTTTCCTCACAGGAAGTCTGGGAGCGGTAAATCTCCGCAGAGAGAAACTCGAGTATTCCTTGGGTAATGGCAGGGGAGTTGGGGGTGGGGGTGGGGACGGGGGCAGTGACAGTGTATGGGGCTCATGATAATAATGGGCACAAGCATGAAGAAAACCTTCTACCATCGAGTGTGCTGCGGAGTTCACAGCACACTATAACCCACTGGGTTATATGAAACGGTCTAAAACTGCAGCAACAAGGAGCCACAGCAGCCCCGGCCCTCCCTCGCATCTGCGCTTTCAGGGTCCACGGTCCACGGTCCACGCCGGTGTTTGCACAGCACCTTGGTCAAGTTTCTCCCTGCATCCCCACCCGTTCCCAGCCTCGGTGGAGGCGCTGTTGGTTACGACTTCGGGAGACCCTCGTGCGGAACCCCTCGCACATGTTGTTGGATATGCTTTTTCTTTTTAAATCGGAGAAAGATGTGGCAGTCTGCTCCTGTCAGGAGTCACAGCCCCGGAAACTCACAGGGGCACTTCTGCTCCGTCCTGTGGGGTCGTGAAGAGTCAGAATCAACTCAGTGGCAGTGCATTTGGGGTCTTTGAAAACTATCTAGCATTCTTGACACGTGAATGTACTACCGATCTTCCCTGCCTGCCTCTGTGGCCCACGCCCACCCCACCCCCAGTTCAAAACGATGGAGGTTCTACCCCTGTTCTACCCCTGCTGACAAACAGCCCCCTCTATCCCAGAGTGGACCCCTGGGTGAGCTGCTCAGGGGCAGGGCGAGCACACGGCCCTCTGCTCTGGCAGCTTTCCGTCTCTGCCTGAATCAACTTCAGATGACCCGCGTCAGCTCTGGCCGTCCTTCCCTGGGTCCCCAGCATAACCTTCGTCACATCCCTGGGCAAAACCAGCGCTGCAAGCGGCAGGGAGAACCGGCAGGGAGAACCCCGGCACAGCTTCCATGAGCGGCCCATAAGCCAGGACCCATGAGGGTCTGGCCTCGGCAGGGGACCCTCCTGGGCACTTTGTTTGCTATGCTCCAGGATGTCCTGTGGGACCCAGTCGGGTCCTTTGAAAGGCCTGCAGCCCTTTCATTGCAGGTTTGGAAAGAGATGTCCATGGGCTGAGTGAGGAGGCTGGCACATTCTGGGTGGGAACCAGCAGGTGGAGCGGAAGGGCACGATTCAAAGCCAGTAAAGATGCCTCTTTCACCTGCAGCTTCCCTGGCAATGCAGGGAGTCAGCAGGAAGCAGGCCGCAGGGGTGGCACAAGACAGACTGGAGTGCTGGTCCTGCTAACCCCCTCCGTCCCATGGACCCGTGGCTTTCCTGGTCTCCCAGGGCTGGCACACTTGCTCATCAGTGCCAGTGACCCCTGCCCCTAATTCATCCACTGAGCCACATACGCCCAACCCGACAGGAAGCAAGCGCTCCCCACGGTTCTCATTCCCTCTCCAACCTACTGCTGCCCAAGCACTGGGAGGGGGGGCGGTCTCAGTGAGTCGGAAGCCCCAGGTGGGCAGTGGAAAAGGCTCTCTGCCTGAATGATGCAAAGGGCAAAGGGCTCAGTCCCTAACTGAACAGTGGGTGGTTTGTGTCCCTCCTGGGCTGGGCTCACCCAGTGTGCTAACCCACGTGTCACCCCTACATCTCAACAATGGCCCACCCCACGTGCCAGACACACAATCCTCCATCACGCTCATTGCATCCATAGAACGGGTGTCACGAGGACAGCCACGGGTGATTTCAGGAACCTCACTGCCGTCAAGTGGATCCCGTCCATAGCAACCCGAGGGGCCAGCGTGGCTTCTGTGGCTCTTCACAGCAGGAGAGAGCCTGGTCTTCCTCCCACAGAGTGGCCGGTGGCTTTGAATCACTCACCTTGCGGTTAGCACTTATTTCTTAAATTATCCAAGACTAACAAGATGGTGGAACAAAACCTTTCTACACTTGAATGACATCGTTAGTGACTGAGTGGAAAACCAAATTCCAACCCTCTGACATCGAGTCCATGCCCACCCACAGTGACCCTCCAGGGCAGGGTGCCGCTGCCCTGTGGGTTCCAGAGACGAACGAACACTTTCTGGGAGAGAAGGCTCCCTCAGCAGCTGGTGGTTTTAAATTCCAGACCTTGCAGGTAGGACACGTAATTCCAACACTACCATTTCGTTTTCCTCTGTTCCTTTCAACACCACTTCACTCTCCAAACAGCCACTGACAGCCATTCACAGGTACTACACCACTGAAGCTAAAACACCAGAAAATTGGATAGAATCAGAGACTACAAAAACACAGTGGCAAGAAAAATAACAGTGCGAACATGTAGCTGGTGCAGTCGGAACCACGTGAGTCCAAGCCCATTGTCATCAGGTAATATCGACAGCTCTGCCCAGAGCGCATCACCCAACCCAACCCACCGCGCCCAGTCCATCTCCCCGCCCACCCCGCCCCTAACAATAGGGCCGAGCAGAACTGTCCCATGGAGGTTCCCAGGCTGTCAATTTTCACAGAAGCAGCCTGCCTCATCATTCCTCCCTTGGAGCAGCTGGTAGGTTCAAACCTCTGACCTCTTGGCTAGTAGCCCAACACTAAATCTACTGTGCTACCAGGGCTCCTGAAGCTCATTAGGAGATTCAAAAATAACTTGGTTTTGGTAGGTGCTGTGAGTGGGTTCCCACTCCTCGCGATCCTATGCACAACGGAATCAAACACCACTGCTCCTGAAGCGTCTTCACAGCTATCTTTATGTTTGAACCTATTTGTGTCCATCCATCTCATTGAGGGTCTTCCTCTTTGTCGCTGCCCCTCCACTTTACCAAACATGATGACCTCCTCCAGGGACTGGTCTCTCCTGACAACGTGTGTCTTATTGGGATATTTAACCACGATGACATTTTTATAACAAAGAACACAAAATTTCCTGTAACACTCACTTTGGGGTCACACCCTCTGGCAGCGTCACTTGATGGGGTCTGGATCTACCGTGCCCCCTGCCCCCCCCCCCAAGTGATGCTCCTGCATAAAGAAGAGCCCCAACAGAAAGGCCTGACAAATACTCCTGGGAAAGCGTCCAATTCTGACACAGGGTCACCATCACCGGGAGTTGAACCAACCAGCAGGTACCTGGGTTGACAGCTCTCTTGCTCCCCTCTGTCCCACCCCAAAGCGTTCCAGCTCCACAAGAGACCCCCTGCTCCCAGCTCCTGTGCATGCAAAACACTCTTCCCGTGCACTCTGCTCCCGGGGCTGCCGAGCCACCACCACCACCTCCCCAGGCAGGCTGCCCACGTGACACTGCAATCCCACTCTTGCTCCCATCCTAACTCAGTCTCCAGCACAAGCAGACCACGACTCATCCTTCCCCAACACCTGCCACGGTCCCCTCACTTAGAACAAGACACTCAACCTGTTGACACATCCTCCCATGTCCCTACCTGGATCCCAGGTCCCTTACCTGGGTCCCTGGTCCTAGCAGAGTTGGTGCTTGTTCACCTTACTTTTCCTGAGCTCCAGCTACAATGGGCTGTTTTTTGTTCCTCCAACAAGTCAAACCCTTTGCACATGCTATTGCTTCTACCTGGACTGTTCTCTGTCCCTTAGCATGGCTGTCCTGGGCCACATCACCTCTCCCTCTCCCTCTCACGTGACATAGTTTATTTCCCCCGGGCATGCTCAGAACCGGGGGCTACCCTACACACGATCCACTTTGATCCATGAAGGCACGGGCTTTGCTCTGTCTGCCTGCTGTGGCCAGAGCCCTGGAACCCGACACACAATAATGCTCCCGAAAATGGAGATCAGGTGACCAACTGGGCAAGCTGGTCTCTGACTCCTGGCTGGCCACCTCCAATCCCACGTCCACTCCATTGCCAGAATTCACCAACTCAACTGTCTGGTTCTTCCCTTTTAAACATCCACTGCGATTCTCGTCATCCTCAGAACGAAACCAAACTCCACAGCGCAGAACATTCTAGTCCCACCTATTCTTCCAGACTCTCCTCCTCTCTCTCCCTGCATCCACGCAGGCTGCTACCTTGTCCCGGGACAGCCACTCTGAACCACGCCTCCAGGCTTTTAAGCTCACTGTCCCCTGACCTGGGGTGTACTTCCCCTTAGTCCTTTCTGAACACTCCTACACATCCTTCAGGACCCAGCCCAAAGGCCTCTGTGACACCTTCCCACTCAGCCCAATAGCTTCCTGCTGTGCTGCCAAAGCCCTGGGTCAGCACTCCTAGGCCATGGTCAATGCATAGCCAGGAATGGCTGGGTCTGGCTCTGCCCCACGGGGGAGGGCAGGGCCCGGTTCCCTCTCAGCACTGCCCAGTGCTGGGGCTTGTCTGCAGAATGAAAGATATGCCACGGCTGTGGGTTTGCTGCCTTCACTTATTCACTCAACAAACATTAAACGCACCCCAAACAAGTGCAGGCCCCAGGTCTGACCCTCATCACTACCTCCCACCCTCCCAAGGGGCTTTGTGTCTTCTACCTGGTAGCCATTCTCAAGCTTAGCCAGGGACTTCAAGGTGGAGAGGGATGAACCATTAACTACCACTGAGTTGACGGCGACTCATAGCGGCCCTGTAGGACAGGGTAGAACTGCCCCCTTGGGTTTCTGAGACTGTACCTCTTTAGGGGAGTAGACAGCCTCACCTTTCTCTTGCGAGGTGGCTGGCGGTGTCCAACTGCTTACCTCATGGTTAGGAACCCAACGCTTAACCACCACACCACCAGGATGTGTTGTTCGACTCCACTCATCACCCACTCACTTAAACCCCTATTCATGCCACGAAGCAGCAAAGACAAAAGGCCGCCAACCAGCCCCAGCATGTCATCTGGCATACCAAGAGGTGCTCACGAAATGCTTTGTGAACAGCCCATCACAGCCTCCATCCCACCTTGCTAGTTAGCTTCACCTTTACAGCGCACCCAGGTCTCACTGATGGGGGCAATGGGGAGCCTGGCTAGATATGACTGCTATGCCTTTGACCCCACCTGCCTGCCCACCTCTGGCCTCCATAGCCAGGCCAGGTGGGCAGGTGGGGCCAGCACAAAAGGCAAGGGCAGGATCCCAGATCCTGGAGAGCAGCTGGGGGCATGCCAGCTTTCATAGCCTGGGTGAGCAACCCCATGATTACCCCAGTTCCCACCCCACCCCACCCCCCACCCCCACACTTCCTGTGGCTGGCCTCAAACACCTGGATCCTCTTCCAGCAGTGGCAAAACTAGGTGACTGTGGGGGCCTGGCAGGGAAGCAGGAAGAGAGTATCTACTGATGCCTGGGGCTCCAGCCACCCCAGCAGCAGGCCGCCCGCTGTGTCTGAGGTGGGCCCAGCTTAGGTGGCCCCAACACCCAGGCCACACCCAGGACGTGCCAGGTCATGGCCAGGCTGTGAGCTAGGTGCACAACCATCTCCAGGAGTTTGTTGTCACAGGAAAAGCCCTGGCTCATTAGTTAGCTGGGGCCCAGGGTGCCACTTGCATCCCCTGCTCCTGCAGCAGGTCATCATCCAGAGGGGACAAGCAGCTGGGTGACCACCAGGTACGAGAACCCAGGACTGCCTGACCCCAGGCCGGCCGACTGCCCTCATCTTCTATTGGGTCCCGGAGCAGAGGGCTTTAGGGGCTCCCTCACCCAGTTCCCAGCAGGATGCCTGGCCCCAGGGCAACCTGGCCGGTGGGGTGGACTGATGTAACTAACACAAAGCGCACTGGCCTGGGGTCTGGGAGCTTGGGTTCGGTGCCCACCTGCTCCCCACCTGGTCCTTAGTTTCCCACTGTCCAAGCCCCGGCTCAGCTCAGAGGGTTGGGCCCCCCTTGCCCAGAGCCCTTCCTCTGTCTGTGCTGCACCCCAACTCTAATAGGGCGCCCTGACAACATGGGATGGCCTCTCCACGTGGGTCCCCAACTCAAAGTGACATTCAGCTGCTCAGAGAACAAGAAAGCGGCCACCCCAGCAAGCCCCAGGTCCATCCTCGGGGAACGCAGGCTGAGTGTGTGTGGGGGTGGGGTGGGGGCACTGGTGGGGTCCTGGGCTGCAGGCTAGGAGATCTACAGGCTGAAGAGAGGGCGCCCCCAGCCCTGGTGCCTCTATCTGCGCACTATCAGGGCAACACCCTCCGGGACACGGGGTGGGTGTGTTGGGGACTGAGGTCCTGGGGCTGACTTGTGCACCCCCCCCCCCCGCACCTCCGCAGGGCGTCCTGGGCAGGACAGGGGGACCCCCAGCATGCGCCAGGACTCAGTATTCCTGGGGGCGGGGGAAGGGGGTGCTGAGGTTCGCGCCCCTAGCTCCGCGAGTGCACATGCGCCCAGGTGCCGACCCGCCCCCGCGCCCCCTTCCCTCTCCTCCCCCGACCACTGACCATAGTGACCGGAGCCAGGTCCCGCCCCAGCGAGGAGCGATCCGGTGCGGGAGGGCGCCGCGGAGGCCAGCGGGAGGGCGGCGCGGCCTCGAGGGCGTGGGGGCACGCGGAGAAGACACCCGACCACCCCGCACACCGGAGAGCAGACCTCCACTGTGTCCCAGGGAGACACACGCCCGGCGACGGACGTCGCCAGCGGCCAATCAGGAGCCGCGGCTCAGGACGTCACAGAAAGTGGGTGGGCCTTCACGTGCCGCCAGCCTATGCTCGCGGACTCCTTTGACAGGGTCCGGCCCCCTTTTAAACGCGCAGAAAGCTTTTGACGAGCTACCCAGAGCACGGGCTCCGGCGCTGTAAAGGCGGATAAGGCTTTTTGATAAGAATGGCAAGCCGAGGTGTCCTGGAAGATTAGCCAGCTCACCCTCATTAATGCACAAACATGGGCACCTGAGTAGAGAATGTTCACGCTCAGAGGAAACACGTGTCTAAATCACAATAAGTGAACCACCTGCCCCAGCGCAGCTGCTGAATGATCAGGCTCCCCCCTTCCAGGTCCCGGATCGGGCAGCCAATGAGAACTGGTTGGCTGAGTGCACTTCCCTCCGCCGCTCGCGGACCAGGTGTGGGTGAGCCAGGTGTGGGTGACTCACGCGGGTACCAGCTCATTACTGCTGACATCAAACAGATTTAGCAGCCCCTGACCTCCAGAGGGGTCGGATGTGGGTGGGGCTCCCAGGCATTGGGTGCACGCTTTTAACTAGCTCAAACACTCCCACGACTGCCCAGCGCTGCCCATCCGAGACTTCAAGTGGCTGTCCTTCACTTGGAGGAAGGGAGAAAAGGGGTTAATTGAGCCTCAAGGGTCAATAACGTAAGCCACAACAATGGATTTCACATGCCAAGGGTGGACTTTTATTGAGCGCTTACTGTGTACCTGCCACTCACCATGTAACATCCTGCTTCATCCTCAAAGCACATTTATGGGCATTGCTAGTGTTATGGCCCGTGAGTGATTCTGACTCACGGAGACCAGTGTGTGCAGAGGCTGACCCTTCGTCAGATCGCTGGGTCTATCTTCCAAGGTACCTCTGGGCCAGGGTAAGTCCTGCTGGTACCCCTATCACAGATGAGGAAACTAAGGCACAGACAGATTCAGCTCCATACCTAAGTTCAGCCTGACTCCTGAGCTGGCTAAGGATCCACTCTGCTGAGGCTTCTCTCTGCCAAGGACCAGAGAGAGGACAGGATCCATCCAGTAGGCCTCAGCACCCTAGGACTACTGACCCCTTGTCCAGATTTCATTTGGCTTCTCTGGGGAGTAACTAGGCAGGTGTGAGCCAGTGGGGTGGGGTGGGGTGGGGTGGGTGAGCCATGGCTGTGAAGGCCTTTGCGCGGGTTTAGCCTCTGAGGTCTTTAGGGGCCTCAGGGAGGAGGTAGACTGAGTTTTGAGGTTCCAAGCTCCCGGTGCTGGGCAGCCCTGAGCTTTGAGCCCTGAGAATTCTCTTCTCGCCAAAGCAGGTCACAGCAGAACCAGTTGTCAGCTGTCCTTGTTGTGGGGAAGGAACACTCAGCTGGTACCCCCAAGGGCCTCTCCTGTCCCTTGGATACTGCCACTCACTGCAGCATGGCCCCAGGAAACTGCCAGGCCCTCTCTGGGCCTCTGGCTCCTCACATAGAGGGCGGGCTGGACAATCTGGAAAGTTAAACAGACTATACTCCCACCAGCCTCCTTGACCCTGAGGCCAGAGGAACTGGATGATGCCCGGCCATGACAATCAGCTGCTGGCAAAGGTTCACACCAGAAGGGACTGGAGTGGGTGGAGAAAACAGCCTTAGCCAGAATCTGATTATGCCAGGGGCTTCAAAAGGTTTCTGGGAAATGGAAAAATGGAATTTAAACATAGGGAAAAATTTCTAGGAACTTTTTCGAATCCCTTGGTATTTGTTCAATGGAGCCCTGGTGGCATCGTGGTTACACACTGGGATGCTGACCTCAAGGTCACCAGTTCAAAACCACTAGCCATTCCACGGGTGAAAGATGGGGCTTTCTACTCCCACAGTCTCAAAAACTCACAGGGGCAGATCTACCCTGTCCTATAGGGTTGCTATGAGTCGGCATAAACTCAGTGGCAGCCTGAGTTTGGTCTGTGCTCAGCTGTTGAAGCTCCCCCACAGAGCGATGGGTGATTTCTTTCTTGAGTCTACAATTGCTTGGGCCCCCACCCCCCTGGGATCCCTGGTTCAGGAAGGGTGATGGGGTGGGAGTAGGGACAGGGTAAGGTAGGGTAGGGGGAGAGGCAAAAACCAAAGACTCTCCACACACCTCTGCCGATTTTATAGAGATTTTGAGCCACCCTCTCCCAGAAACACCCAGACTTGATGTTCTCCCACTCGGCCTTTTGTGGATAAGGTGGTTCTTAATGAGGTGCCGTCAATGTGGTTCCGTCTCATAGTGACCCCCGTGTACCACAGAAGGAAACACGGCCAGTCCTGCACCCTCCTCACGATTGTTATGTTTGAGCCCATTGCTGTAGCCACTGGGTCAATCCATCCAGGTCTTCTTCTCTTCCACTACCCTCCTCCTTCTGGTGGTGCAGTGGTTACAGATGGGGCTGTGGTCCGTGTGATCAAAAGTCCGAAACTGCCATCAGCTCTGTGGGAGAAAGACTGGGCGTTCCACTCCTGTAAATAGTTACAGTCTCAGAAGTCCACAAGAGGTCACTGTGAGTCAGCATTGATTCGATGACAAGGAGTTTGGTGTTTTGAGTCTCTTTCTATAGTAGTTACATCATCTGGTGTTGATCTGAGACTATGAAGAGTAAAGGGGTGGAGTTTAGCCTGTCAATCAGGTCGCAGCTTGATCACCTCATTTGGAGGCACGATGGAGATAAATAGCTTGCTGGAGGCCAGATACCAGCTCGTTCCCTGCGAGACATTCCTGTTGACAAGCCACATGGAGCCAAGCTGATGGCAGCCAGAGCCCTGGAGCTGGAGGAGCCACGTGGAGACCCCACACCAGCGCTGAGAGGCTTCCACCGCCTCTGGATCCCCAAGACTTTCCACCCACTGGCCTGTGATCTTCCTGCAGTCAGTGTCATTACATGTGTTGCATGAGTCTGAGGAGGAATTTATTGACTGGTATTGGATTTACGGGCTAATATCAGACTATGGACTTGATCTGGACTGAGCTGTGATGTTTTCTTAATATACAATTACTCTTTGATATAAAGTCCTCTATTACACACTAAGGAGTGTCTCTGGATTTGTTTCTCTAGTCAATCCGGGCTAACACACCTTCACTGGAGGCCTGGCAGTGTAATGGTTCTGCATTGGGCTGTGATCTGCAAGGTCAGCAATTCGAAACCACCAGCCGCTCCTTGGGAGAAAGACCGGTCTTTCTACTCTCCTAAACAGTTACAGTCTTAGAAGCTCCTAGGGGCAGTTCTACCCTGTCCTAGAGGGCCACTGTGAGTCGGCTTCGACTCGATGCCGGTGAGCTTGGTTCTGGCCTCCTTCACCAGGCACAATGCCACCCTCATGGCTAAGGAACATTCTTGCTGCACTTCTTATGTGGCAGGTCTGTTTGTTCTTCTGGCAGTCCACAGAACTTCCAAGATATTTTGCCAGCACTGGGTTTTAAATGCCTTGTTCAATTGTCTGTCTTTCACCTACATATGAGGGAAATGGAAAGACAATGGCTTGGGTCAGGCACATCTCATGAATGAACTTGGTAACACAGGAAAACTTAATATATGAATTTAGGATAAAAGGGCTTCACCCTGCTCTTCTTCCCCCATGCCATGCTACTCATCCCTACGACTGACGCGCATCAAAGGCCCGTGAGCACCTGCAGTTAGTGTAGCATTATTCACAGTCTCCAAGAGGAGAAAACAAGCCCCACCCGTCAGCAGAGGCCTGATGAGCACCCAGGAGAGCCTTACAACGGAACAGTGGGTGTCCACCCATGAAGAGAAGGGAGCGTCTTGGACCTGCTGGGTCTGGATGCAACATTGGGGGTGTGAAATAAATCAGCCACCAAGACTGTTGCTAACCCCACTTCCTTGAAACATCTACAGGTGGCAGATGCAGAGAGCAATGTCTATTTGTGGTTAACAGGGAGACACTGGGGAGGGAGGGCCTATCTCAGAGGGACGGATTCCTCCAGGGGTTGATCTTGCATCCAAGGAAGGAAAAAAGTGAGCAGGGATGAGGGTGATCGTGACTAACACGATCAACAAAATTAGTGAACTGAAGAATGTGGAAATGGCAGATGTTTTGCTATATACAAGGGTAAGTTACAAACAAACCAACGTTGCTACTAGAGTCCTAGCATTGGACTGCGAACCACAGGGTGGGTGGTTCAGAGCTACCAACCGCTCTACGGGAGAAGATGAGACTATCTCTACAGCTTCGGAAACCCTATGTTGGGTCACTATGAGGTGGAATCGAAGGGACAGCAGTGGGCGGGTTATGCTCAAGTACTACTTCATGCATACATACATGCATACATACATACATACATGCATACATACATGCATACATACATACATACATACATACATACATGGGTTTATTCCAAATTAAATGTGCTTAAACATGTCTCTGTGATCGGTGGGTGGCTGCAGACACGTTCTCTGGGTAACACACCTGTCACAGTCTGTCGTTAAGTGCCATTGAGTGGGTTCCACCCATAGCCACCCTGTGCACAACAGAATGAAACACTGCCCGGCCTGCGCCAGCCTCACGAATGTTGCTCTGCTCGGGCCCATTGCTGCAGCCACGAGGTCGTTCATCCCGTGGACGGCCTTCCTCCGCTTTGCCGTTGCTCCACACAACCGAGCAGGAGGTCCTTCTTTGGGAACTGGTCTCTCCCGATAACATGTCCAACGTCTATAAGACGGAGTCTCACCATCCTGGCCTCTAAGGAGCACTCAGCCATACTTCTTCCAAGACAGGTCTGTTTGTCCTTTTAGCAGTCCATGGTACTTTCAGTATTCTTCTCTGGTCTTTCTTATTCAGTGTCCCCGTAGGAGCCCTTCACAAATACGTTCCGATCCAAACAGTGGCTTCTGAGGGGATCTGTTGGGCCATTCGGTGCCAGGCAGAG